AGTGCGACTGCAGCAAGGACACGCACACACACACACACACACACACACACACGTCGTCTGTGTGCAACTGCAGCTGGGCGTCTGTTTGACTAATTAATTATATCATTAAAATGCGCACAGCACAATTTTGCACCTTTTTTGCCCGAACGAGGGTTGTAGAGGCTGGCGCTGGTTGCATAAAAAATGCAAAAGAATTTATCAGCTGCATATTTCGTATCTTGGCCAAAAGCGTTGCCAAAAACGGGCGCCAGCCAAGAAAATAAATTGGTAATTTGATGCGGCAGCAGGCGGCGGCTGAGGCTCGTTTAATGAAAGCAGCGCACCTCTGCCCATCACGCCACGCCCCCTTGTCAGCCCGCACATGTAAACTGGCAATTGGGCAAATCTCTTGGCTGGCAAAACAAGAGGGCCACAAAAGTTGTTGCCGTAACGGTGACATAATGAATAGGATTTTGCCTCTTTGCGGGCACAATAACAACAATGGGGCGAGTGCTGGCTGTGGGCGGGCGCACTGCAATTTGAGGGCAAGGATATGCAAAGGATATGCAAGCCATGAAACAGATGTTGCAGCTCCGTTGAAAAGCAGCCAATTTGGTGCACAGCGACGACGACGGCGACGGCGACGATAGACATGGCAAAGTGACAAAAATTTAATATGGAACCGCACAGCCATCACCACACACAAACACAAATACAAACATACACACACACACACACACTCGCATGCACAGCGAGTCGCACACGAGCAAAAGAAATGCGCGCAAAATAAACGGCAAAATAATCGCGCACAATGCATTGGCAATGAGCCAAGGCAAAGGCTATACGAGTGTGCATGTGTGTGTGTATATATATAAGCTGCTGCTGGTGTGTGTGTGTGTGTGTGTGTGGACAAAGTTTGCGCTTGCTATCGATGAAATTGTGGACGCAAGAGGACACTGAACGCTGGACTTCGGCACAGAAAATGTGAGAGACGGAGACGGACACGGAGAGCTGGAGAAGGCGGACAGCGATAAAGCGAACGTGGCAGGTGGGCGTGACTGGAGGCAGGTGCCACCCGTGGCCACGTTGCACTTGTAAAAATTAATCAGGCATGCGACCGAGCAAACAAAATGCATTTATTGCCAATATTGTGCAGCAATTGCAGAACAATTTTAAAGTCCTTTAAAAGGACCCACCCACTTCCACACACACACACACGCACACTTACTCCTACACACACATATGACAAAAAAAAACTTTCAATTACAGGGTGTCAAAGATCGAGAGCAAACACAAATAAAAGGGGGCGTGCAGCTAGTTGCAAGCCCTGCAAACATTTCAATTTGCCTGGCGACAGGCGCCGCACAAAAGCCAAACAACAAACCCAGAAAAGCGCATGAAAACCTCCAAAATATAAAAAAAAACGAGTGGGGTAGAGAAAAGGAAAAGAGTAGAAAAAAATAGTCGGAAAAGCTGCAACGAAAATGCTCCACAAATCGGACAAATGGCGCACACAAAAACGCCGTTTCATATCCGGTGCGAGGCGGAAGTGGGCACGGTCACAGGCGCAGGCACAGGCACAGGGCACAGCGACTTCTCTTTGCCATCCAAAGCCTGACTCTGTCATGGCCAATGGGATTAGAAGCATCCCAATGTCCCAGCTGTCGCAGCTTCTCAGCTCTCACTGTGCTCACCGTGCTCCACATATTCCCAGTGTCCTCTACGAAGGACTTAGCTCAACTATCGTATATGACATAAATATTTAATAAATATATTTATGTGTGTATATAGATTTATATATATATGCTCCAACTGCAGTTTGATTTGTATTTAATTTCATTTTAATTTTGCTACTATTTTTTCAACTCAATTATCTTAACAGATTTTTTAAGCAATATTTATTTATCACATAATGCTCAACATCGGTTTATATCAATTTTAAATTGATAAATTGATTAACTTTGACTTTTTGAAATTAAATACAAGCTTTTTTATTCATCTGTTTTAACAGGCAATAAAAAATTTATCAAATGTGGAAATATCAAATTTAATAAATTTCTTTTTAAATTTCATTTATATATATATAAATATATAAATATGACATGTTATATATGCATATTTATTTTAACACAGAAAAAGCTTTTAGCTTGTGCTTAAAAATATATCTCTCTTCTTTTCCGTTTATCTGTTAATCTGTCTCTTTCTCTCCTAGTGTCATGTCTCCTAGAGACAATGGTCTCTCTGTCTTTTTCTTGCTGTCTCACTCTATTCCTGTGTTCCACTTTCTCATTTTTTTCATAGAGAATATGCATCTAGCTCTGTATATCACTATTGCTCTTTCTCGCTGTAAATATTTTTTATGAACTCAACATTTCTCTTTAGAGAGTGATAGAATCCCCATCTCTATTTGTGTCTTTCTTCCTTTCTATTTTTTCTTTCTTTCTTTCTATCCATTACATTATATTACATTATATTTTTTTCTATTTTTTTTTCTGTCTTTCTTTCTATTTCATTATATTTCTTTCTATTTCATTCTATTTATTCTTTCTCTATCTCTCTGTCTCACTCTACATATCACTTTGAATTTACCTGTCTCTCTCTATCTCTTTCTGTCACTCTACCTTGCTTTCCCTCGCTCCCACATATTTTGAGCCCTTGCATCTTTCTATCATCACAAATCTTTCAACTCTCCCTCGCTTTAACTCTCTGTCAGTTTCTCTCTCTCTCTCGCTATCTTTCTCCCACCCAGCTTTAGCCTCTGCACCTTTCTCTCATATTATGCAATACACAACTTTCTTTTCTTTTTGCCGAATCACGCGTTCATCTTTATGGCTGTTGATTTGGCTGCCGTTGAGTTTTGGCCAGCTGCTTGGCATGCAAAGCGCCAATATTTGGTTACATGCTCAGGTGTTCATATCGTGCTATCAAAATCTATGCAACCAGCACAAATGCTGCACACACTTACACACACAGCCGTGCAATAACAACACTAAAAAAACAATAGCAACAACAATGCGGGCAGCCACAGCCCAGAGGCTGAGCAAAGCTATCAAAATAACAAAATCGAAAAGCGTTCACCGCACTTTTGCTATATTGTTTTGTTTTGGGCCATGTGGTTGTGGCTTGTGCAGCTCGCACTAACTGCAGCACCAACTGTGTGACGAGGCCGTTATTATGGCCACATAGTCAACAAACAGCAGCCTGCAAACACAGCACAACAACAACAGCAATATACGTATGAAGAACGCGGCTCAAAATGATTTTCAAATACATTTTGTGGCTCTGCTGGGCTTTCGGTGGGCGTTGCGCCTGTTCGCCTTTTCCAACACTCATTTAATTGCAAATGTTGCGCGTTTAAAGCTGCCAAGCTAGCCTTTTTGCTTCTTCTGTTTGGCTGCTGGAGTTTTTTGATTTACTGCCGAAAATAAATATATGAATAACGGCCCCGTGCGATATGTGTTTTCATGTTATATACCCTGTAATTGATAGCGGCATAAGTGAGATGGCATATTAGTGAGCTGTGTTTCGCGCATGTCAGGAATTTATGATAGAAATTTTTATTATTATTAGTTATAAGCAGCATAAAGTTTTCTTATAGATTCTATTAGAAGTTGTCTTATTCGTTGACTGAGTGAAAAGAATATACTGAAGTTGACAATGCTCTTGTCTTGCTGTCTATCCATCTATCTGTGATACTTAAAATGTATAATATATACTCATTCGTGCCCTCTTCTAATAGTGTTAAAACATACGGGATACACCCACTCAGGAGAGTAGAATATCAGAATATATTATAACTTGCTCCATTTGAAAACTAGAAACTTTATGTTTGATTACAGTTGAGCTCCTTCCCAGCTATACAGCTATACATTGTATAGTCTGCCCATTGAGGCGTGGCAAATTGGAAAACATAGGTTTTTGTAAAATTTCTATATCTCTGTCTCTATGTCTTAACTCTCTCTACCTCTCTATTCCTCTGCTCAGTCAGTCATTGTCTCTTTCTGCCTTTCACTGTTTGTCGTTTCACCTATCTCTTTGCCTGTCCCTCTCCCTTTCGCTCTCTATTTCTTTCTCCGTCATATTGTCGTTGTCTGTCTCTTTCTTTCTATGGTTCTCTTTCTTTCTCTCTTCTGCCTCTCCAGCTCTAGCTCGCTCTCCCTCTCACACTGTCTCCCGATCTCTTTAGCTGTCCCCTCTGCCCCTCCATCTCTGTCTCTGTCTCTGTCTCTATATCTAACACTCAACTCATCTAAGAGTTAATTCAAATTCCTTTTTCGCCCCCTTTGAATTACTTTTCATTTAATATTTACAATAACAGAGCATCTCATAGCTTAAAAACTCGTTTGGTGCCATTTCAACTTCTTCTTCTGTCGATTGTTTAGTTTTGTTTCGTTTTATTTGGCATATTGAAACAATATTTTATAAAAATTTGTTGCGCAGCTGGCGTATCGCAATTTTGATGGATTTATTCATGCAGAAAATTGCATTAAAATTCACAATTCACGTTTGCGTATCGGCCAATGCGTTTTTGGCGTTTATGGCCAACGTGGCGTTCGGGGTATAAACCCACAAAAACGATGCAATTAAACAAGAACTGAAAAAATGGGCACCAAATGCAGCTGAGGCGTTAATTCGATTGTGGTCATGCATATATGTTATGTATATAAAATATACATGAAATTCATATCAAAAATATAGATGCAGGCAGGCAGGCAGCAGGCAGCAGGCAGCAAGCAGATTGCGCTCACACAAAGTGAAGTGGCGCCCTCTGTGGGAAGGGGCCAGAGGCTCGCTTGCCTGTGCAAACATTTTAATTAGCAACTAGAAGAAGTTTTAATTGAATTGAGATGCAGTTAAAGATATATGCTTGTTACGATTCTACGGGTTTATTGGAAACAATTCTGAAAACAAAAGGTACGAGATTTGACCATACAAATTATTGGGGAAATAAAGGGCACATGAACATACATATGTATATATATACATATACATATATATATATGTCTATATATATATATATCTATACAATTATGTATGTAGTTATTTTATGTATTAGGATGGGTGACTTGCATGCGGCAAACGGCTACCAGTATATTAGCAGCAAGTAGAATGGTCCCAAGCTGAACAGCATTAGAGCCAGCACCAGGACAAAGGTTAAACGCCAGCTCTGCTGAGAATGTGGATGGTATCACAGGTGGAGACAGAGCTCGGCATATTGGATGACTTCAACTTACGCCCTTGAAGCTAACCACGCTATCCTGCAACGCGATGGGGCATGCCTCGAGACTGCGGCGACAGAGCGGGCAACGTTTTGCCTGCCAGTTGCGTGCCTCGCGATAAAGTGACAAGCAGCTGCGACAAAAATAATGCATGCAGTGGAGTTGTACGGGATCGTGAATGCGATCCAGGCAAAAGGCGCACAGATCATCCAAGTCCATGATGTTGCTGTTACTATTGTCGTTGCTGCTGTTGTTGCTATTGCTGTTGCTGTTACTATTGCTGTTGCTGTTGCTGTTGCTATTGCTTTTGCAGTGGCTGTAGTCCATTCGCTGTTTCATCTTAACTTATAATTTATTGGAATTTTTCAAATGGGTGGGTTGAAACAAAATAGATATTTAAGCAAATTGTGTGTGTGTGTTGTGTGTGTGACATATAAAAACTAAATATGAAATATATTTTAAAAAAATTATTCCAAGCTATATATAGCTATGTTTATTTAGTTCATGCTTGTTCCCTCGTTTTTAATTAAAAATAAAATCCTAATGCCATAAATTGAGCACACACAAACACACACACACCTTGTCGCTAAACGATGTCGTTGTCCTCGAGAAACTTGCAATAAAATTTAATTATATCAACGCCGGCTTAACTCAAGCGGCAAGCATCGAATGCAATTAGTAGTAGCCTTGTACAACTCAATTAGACAGTTGCAGAGGTGAGGGCGGATGGGGCTCTGAGTATTTCGCTCAGCCTGGGCTAAGGCGAGACGTTGTATAAAAAGACAGCGCTTTGCACTTTGGAGACAGCGAACCGCAGTGCAGACGCGTTATAAATCGAACTTAACAACTACTTGTTTTTTTTCATCTTGTTTGTGGGACGTGGACGGGGCGGTGCGGAGCAGTGGCAGTGGCAGCGACAGTGGCAGTGGCAGTAAAGGACAAGCATTTTAATTAAGTTCAAACTGTGTAAGTCTGTCTGGCAGGCGCTAAAAGTCGCATCATTTCTTAGACACCCACACACGCCCAGTTAACAAGGCTGACAAATTGAATCTGTGACGTCAGCTGTCTGCTGCTTTGTAATTTTCACAGGATACTCTCTCGTTTCTACTTATTATTAGCGCCTCAAACTGGCCAATTAGGTTGGGCCATGCACCACTTGATTTGCATTCGCAACTTGATTATAAAAGTTGCAACAGCAAACCACCCGAACCATCCACTCAATTCAACTTGATTGTTTATTGTTTGGCTTGAGTAAACATTTCTCTTCGGTTTTTTTTCCCCCTCTCCATTTCCATTTTCAGTGGATTTTGCACTTTTTTTTCATTCTGTAATTGTTGATTGGCTGTAAAAGTTTTTCGCCTTTTGTTGTTGCTGAAAAATGTTCAAGTTAAATTAATTTTTAGCCGACTTGCTTTAATTATGCTTCTAAATGGCCAAGCAAATTGTTCAAACACAACATTTCACGCGCTCTTAGCACTCGTTTTCCACTTCTCGATTACCAACGTCTCTCGAATTCTCGATTCTCAGTTGTCAGTTTTCGCTTTTGGTTGTTCAACTTTGCACACAGCTCAAAAGATAAACAACATCAATCTGTAAGTTTGCTGCCAAAAAGTTACGACTGCACAAACTTTGTATATATATATATATATATATATAGGTATATATAATCGAGTTCAGGTTAACTATGCCCAAAGTGTTTTTCAATTATTTACTTTACGAATTAGCCGAGTCAACAGTCAGTCTATCAGAATCTTTTAAGTTAACTTCAATGTGTTGATTCGTATTAAAATTGAGCAGCGAAACGGGTTTCCTTTTGCTGTCAGACATTGCGTATACGCAATAGCTCCAAGAGAAGGCTCTCTATATTTCGCTAGGCTGAGTGTTTATTAGCTCTATATAAAAGAGTTTTTATATACATATTTACACATAATATATTTATGGTTCTAAATAGTCTTTAACAGTCCTTTAGTCCTTATGTATCCCTCTAAGCCGCAATTTAAAATATTTCAGCTCTCAACAGACATCATTATTGACTTCACATTCATTTACCTAATAACTCAATAACCCACACAGATTTAGTTGTCGGCATAAAAATAAGCTCTTGTTTTTATTTAGCATAGGATTAAATTATTTAAGCAGCTGCTTATGGCATAAAACCCCAACTAAACATAAATCAAATAAATATTTAATAGCTGAATAAGTAACACACATATTTTAATGGGAATATCAGCTGGTTGTTATATATATATATATATAGAATATTTACTATATATATATTGTAATTCCATATTCAAGTATCTATCTATATATACTGCCAGCTATCTATTTAATTGATGTACAATTTGATACTGACCAGGTCTCCACTCCTTAAATATTCATATTTAAATGCAAAATTTCTTTCTACATATCCTTTTATTCATATCTCTATGCATCTATCAAACTTTTAACCATCTATCTAACAAATCTGTCAGCCTATCTATTCATATATCCATCTATCTATAAATCTATTTATTTATATATATATATATATATATATATATATATCTATCTATCTATCTATCTATCTATCTATCTATCTATCTATCTATCTATCTATCTATCTATCTATCTATCTATCTATCTATCTATCTATATATTCATCTATCTATATATCCCTCTAAATATCTAACCATCAATCTATTTATCTATCTATATATCTTTTTGTCTATTCATCTCTCATCTATCCACTTATATACCCTATGTACTCATCTATCTATCTAATTATTATTCCCAACAGACTAGTCCAACTGCTTAACAACCATTTCTTAAAATTTGTAGCTTTCTCAATATTTTGTTCGCTAATCTGCAACCTTAAGATCCGCTGTTAGAGCTATAGTAAATGTCATGTAGTACGCTATGCTCTGCCATTTCCGGCTGCGCTGCGGGCACGCTAGATGGCGCTGCTGTGCCGCTAATGAGCTTTGTAACCGGACGCGCTGGCGTTGTCCTCATTTATGCTAAGCTTTTGGTGCATTTATAGCAAACAACTAGGATAACAACAACAGCAACAACCACAATAGAGGCAACAACATCTAGACTCGACCGCAACTGTATCGTGTGCTTAATGGGTTAACGTGACGCTAAATGAATCATGCCCAGCAGCTAGCGGCATTAGTGGGTTAATATTTCAAAGCAGCACGAAGGCGGAATGGCTGGGGTGGCCGGAAGTGGAAATGGAAACAGCAACGGAAGGGGGCAAAGGAAAAGGGAAGGACAGCAGCAGCAGCGGCAGCAGCAGGCAAAGGAAACTGCCAGCGGATAAGCCTGGCCAGATTTTGCTGCGCACAATTTCTATGCAAAAGACAATGTTATCATTTACAGGGTGTCTAATTAAATAAGTGAGGCAGATGGCGGGCGGTGTTAACAAGCTATAGCTGTACTTCGTTTCTATTTCCATTTAGGTTTATTTAGTAATTAGCTAAACTCAGTTCTGTGCAGCTGATTTGCTGAAGTTAAATGCATAACTAATTAGCAAAAGCAAAATTTGTGCAAATTATGAGAAAATTATGAGAAATGATGTTAATGTTGTGATGCCTGCAGGCCTTTGACTGCCAGTACTCCCTCTCTCTCTCTCTCTCGCTATGCAATGCATGTAGAATGGCCCTAGAAAGTCCACTTTATGCTGGCATTGAGTGGGCTGTTGCCAGCCCGCAGCAGCTCACATAGATGCTTTTGCTAAATGCAGACAATGGCATAAAAGGCGCTCGTCTTTAGACATGTACGCAGGGCCTTCACCCACTTTCCAGCTGCAGTTCACTTGAATGCACTTACAAAAAAGAACGGGACGTGGGCGTGGGCGTGGGCGTGGCAGCTATGGCACGTGTGCTCAAGGTGTATGTGCGCGAGTGCAGCTGTAATTCAGCTAAATGCACTCAGCCAGGGCAACGGGGTCCATTGTGCTGTGCCTGCTGCCAGCTGCCTGCTGGCTGCTGTACGTTATACGTTATACGTTGCACGTTGCGGTTGCACCTTGTAATTGAAAAGTGGGTTGCACATTTGGCTGCATTGTCTAGCAGTCCTGCACAACGACCCACATTTCGGTGTTGTTGTTGTTGGCCATAAATCAGGGTTGTGCAACATTTCTTTGCAACTAATTTGTCAGCTGATTTGCCGGTGTGTGTGTGGCACACACTCAAGCATATCTGCATTAATAGCCTAAGCAATTTGTTTAGGCCATAATAAATTAAGCCAACATTTTTGCCTGGCTGCTGTTGCCTATAACAAGTTTGCCTTGCGCACTCGAGCGTAAAGCCTGTGATATCCTTCGAGTTTGACAATTGAATTTCAACATTTTCTCTCTCCCTCTGCCCCTCTCTCTCGCTCTCTCTCTTCAGAGTCGCAAATACATTTTGCCAATAGGCACATAAAAGATTTGTTGACAACAGCAACAGCATCCGGCAGCAGCCAACCCAAAAAGGATGCGCCAGGCGAAACTATGCAAATGACATGGCTGGGCCAAAAAACTTTCGGCTGTCCCCGCAAGGACAACGCAGCGCTGTTCGTTGCCTGGAACTTAACTCTATACTTTTTTCCCTCTTTTATTTTATTCAAACAATATCTGAATAATTTCATCCCAATGTCCTATTATGCAAAGCAAAACGATTTGCGATTGCTTTAAATGATAAGCAATATGTTCGATGTTCTGGCGGCAAATTTGCCCAAATTTTCCAGGGACAAGCGAGAAAATGAAGAAAATCAAGAAAATCTATTAATGTCAAAGCAAAAGGCATTGAACTGTGTGAGCAGAGTTTGTAAGCTATTAAATTAGCTATGAATAAATAGCTTGTTTACATTGAGATAAATTGTTTGACATCCTAGCAGGTTATTCCGAACATTTTGACAGTCTGGCAACGCCCAAAAATATACTTTTCACATGAATATTAGAAGCACTGCTAAGTAAAATTTCTAATTTAAGTCTTAACTGTCTAACAGTTTCCCATTTGCCTTTGCACATACTTTTCCTGCCTATTGGTTAGCGAGCTGAAGACTTTGTGAATTTATCCTCATGTCAAATTTCTACAATGAAGGTTGACTTGTTATAATTTAGCTTATGTTTATTAATTAGTTAATTGTTAAGCAATTTAATAATTATGTTTTAAATTAAAGTCCATATAATTATTTTACTTTTTTTTATCCTCATGTCAAGTTTTTACCATTAAGTTTTTTGTGTATATAGATTGCAAGAATCTGTGAGCTAACAATTCTGATATTAATTCCAATGTCATTTTCTTACTAAGAACTTTCTTCGGTCACTAGTTTCGACCATTTTCTTATCCTCTTTGTCGAGCAATTTGGGTTATTTTTTCTCTTGTCAAAGTTTTACTAGAAGTATCTTTTTCATCAATAGAATTAAGTATTTGATATATTTACTTTAAACGCCTATTTGTACACAAATT